AACTTTGTCCTGTTGAACTCCTAATTCTGGAAATAAAGCAGAACTCTCGCTCAGCATGCTGGTAGCAAATACATCAAAGACTTTACTCCCCAGTGGTCTAATTTGCTCAAATCTAAACACAGTCTAGACTAACACACACAATTAAGAGAAAGTGAGCGCAAATCAGTTGCCTCTGTAAGCCCAAATATCTGGCCAAAAAAAGTTTGTGACAGAATGCAATGCATACACACCACAGAAACTGTCAGGTATTGTATCACTCAGACTGTGGAAAATATTTACAGCCTCTAAGTTCTGTTACAGCAAGTGTTAGCTAAATCACCTTTACAGGAAACTACACTTATTAAGACTGGCAGAATCAGTCACCTAAGTTATCAAAGGAAAAAGAATCCAAGCACTAATTTAGGAAGATAAAATACAGCTCCTGTTTTGCTAACAACTACCCTTGTAATGAATTGGTATTGAAAAGCATTTGAAAAGATTTACTATCATTAAGATGCAATGGTCTTTCTAAGTAACACAGAAAAACTTCAAGTAAGGCAATCCAGGGTAACCTTCTGGCTACTGACCAGTCGACCAGAAGCACCAGGCACACTAAGTAGAGCCATGCATGCATGCTGCCGCATGCAAGTGTCTGCAGGGTTTTGCAAGAGCTTCTGCTTTTGAGCTCCTGCCAACAGCATTTGTGGCCACCAACTGCTGCTTCTCCCGGAGGCCCGATAGGTCTCCCCAGCTGAGCTGTGGCAGTCCGCCTGTGCAAGAGGCAACAGCAAGGGCCCTGCACCGTCCTCGGTGCCTCCCTGCGTGCCGCACACAGGGTACTTTCCCAAAGGAGCTAATGGGTTTGGTTGGTATTGCTCCCAGCTGTTGCTGAGATTTCCGTGAAGGAAGACATTACCTCTGCGTGAGGGAGTTCTTTATTCCCACTAAACTGCAAGTCTGACAAGAGCTTAGATGCAAGATGCCCCCAAGAAGCTTTTTCCTCAGAAATGCTTTCTCTTTGAAAAGAAAAACAAGAAATCCACCCATTTCAAGGTATAAAAAAACAGCTGGAAAAACACCTGAAACAACAGGAAAAAAATCGGCTTAAAAAAAGCTAACCAGGCCAGTCACCAGAAAGTCATCAATAGCATACAATTCCATTGGCCAACCCAATTAATGAGAAAAATGTCCCCCCATCCTGCCACCATTCATGAAATCAGCAGCTCTCAGGCTCCATCTGTGGAATGCCCAGATGCAACCGGTCAGTCACCAGCCCAGCCTCCAAACTCATCAGGATCACCCCAGACTGGTGGTCAGAGAAGCAACAGCTCCCAACAGTCACATGGCAAGTCAAGCCGCAGGTAGAGGCAAGGGAGAAGTCCCAGGAAACCCCTCAGGTATTTGTGACCAACAGTGGACAACTGAGCAGCTCTCCCCCTCTGTGGACACGGCATCAGGCAGGGAGGGCAATGCCTCTCCTACCCTGCCTACTCACAGTTTGCTGCTGGACTCCTGTGGCCACACTCTCCCCAAGCAGGAAGCATTATCGTCCTCTCCAGGTGGCACTGCCAGGTGAGCCCCACCCACCGCAGGTGGGCCCCAAGCCTCTGCGCACCCAGCTTATGAAGTCATCTCAAGGGTTCAAACAGGTGTACATTTCTGAAGGTCACATGTGGATTCATGACCTCGCATTTATACGATCTACCCTTTCCTCTACAGGAAAGCCTCTGGGGCTTTTCAAGAAAAGCTGAGAGTTGAGACAGAAGCATACAGGAGAAGGAAGTCAGACCACACGCTAGCACTAACAAATGCTTAAGACTGAGGAGAATTAAGTCATAATATCAAAAAATTCAGCTGCAAAAAGCTCCTCTTCAAGTAACATTGGAAACTGGTGGCATAGCCTATCCAAATTATTTTTGTCAGAAAGGAAACTGGGGATAGAGCTGCAAATCATTCTCTTAGGGTGGCATTCTCCCCTCAGGTTAAAGGGTCTCCAATACATCCAAGTCAAAGACACCCCAAAAGCACTCCTTTATCACCAAGTGAAATATTTATTCTAAGGTGTCCAGTAGCCTCTGAAGTAAAGCGGAGTATTTAATCTTAAGAGGTTATAAACCCCACCTCATCTCTTTCTAATAGAAATGAACAATTCTACAAGGCACAGAATAATTATCTTTCTTTTTACTTGAAAGACCATCACTTTTCAAAGGATTAACACCATTTGTAAACAATGGGGCAATATTAGTAGTTTTGAACTTTGCCAAAACAGACACGGGTTGCAGTAATACTGATTTTAAAAAGGCAGGCTTTAACCCACACAGCTAGTACAAGACCACTATTAAATTCCTACCTGTAATCTCACATTTAAAAAAATACATATATAAGAATTCACAGCACTAATCCTTTAGTTTAGGAAGTTTTTAATTCTGCAATAAAACCATTCAGTGTAAATCAATTTTAAATTAGAGCATCAGAAGTCTCACAGCACTGTTAAAAAGCAACAGAACACCACAGGTATCCTTCATGTAACTGAAGACAATTGTGTGTGTTGTCTGTGTATTGAACAGTTGAAATTGCTACTTGCTAGAGGTCAATAAGCTGATAACCACCAAGATCTTAGGGTCCCAATGGAAAACATGAAGTGGAGCTATAGGCTTCTTGGAATCAGTACTTGCTCCTCCAGTTAAGAGTGCATGCTAGACATTTAATGTTACTCCAACATTACGTTATAGCATGACATACAATGAACGCAAGAATTGTACTGGCAGATGAAATGCCCTATCATAGCTCCTAGATGCTGTTGGTGTGCTGGGTCAGCTAGTGGTTGGCCAATGGTTGGCCTCCCCAGTTATTCTGATTCAGGAACACTGAAAATATCAATACCAAATTCAAGATGTATGGGAATTAATAATTAGAAAAATAAAAGCCTCACTGACATTTGTTCAGTTTGACATGCATCTGAAGAAACTAAACCATAGCTATTGTTAAAGCACACATCAGCAACTTTGTTTACTGTCCTCAGCAGACACATTTACATCAGAGGTTCAGTGAGTCCTGAAAACAAGAGCCTTATGATCTCAGCTACCTCACACTGCCTCCTTTTCATTACTAGAAATCTCACCAGAGTTAAATTAACTTTCTTAACTCCGTAAATATTCTAAAATAGAAGTATTTTGTTACTATACAAGCACTTTTAGAAAGTCTGTATGATTTCTTGGTGAGGGGTGGGTGGGTGAGTGTGTCATATTTTCATACCTTATCTGGGAGGAAAAAAAAGTTAAATCCAGCTGGGAAAATGAATGTATGTAGATCACCTGCCTTTTATCTGTTTATCCTCCCTGCAAAAACACCAGATGCTCAGTTGGGATGCAATTGTTTGAGACACCTTTCATGTGATACGGTAGGTAGAGGGAAGAGCAGTCAGCACTGTGTGACCAAGCAGCCTTCCACTGATTTTAGATGGGAAGTGCTAGGGAAGCATATAATAATAAAGAGTATGCCAGGACAGAGAGTGCTTAGTCTGCATATAAGTTAATTAACATAGATTAGGAGGAATGGACAGCCTCTGATAATCTGTTTTCCAGCTCACAGTTTTTCCAGTAGGAAAATCTACCAATTATCTCCTGGCAAATAAATTCTTCCTTAGGATTTCTAAATTAAGGAAGGTTCTTGATCAGGGCTTGTTAACACCTTTTTTCAAATGTATTTCATATTTATGTAGACAAGATGCTGGACTACAGTCACCACTGATCTCCTTAAAACAGTTCCCACAATAAAAAGTAAGATGGGGAGGAAGTCTGTTACATCAATCATACCCTAAATGTTAAATGGATTATGAAACACATTTAGAATCTTTCCATTCATATGTTCTGAGTGCAAGTCCTTTGGGTCTTACTTACAAAAAAGAAGTAAATCAGTCCTTTCAAAATTGAGATGTTTTTGCTAAATGAAAACATTTATTTCAGCACTATAATATTTTCCCCATCACCAGTACTACAGCTCTTCTGTTCTAAAAAAAAAAAAACCACACCCAAAAAAACACAAATAAAGGCTTTAGCATGTTATACCCCACAATAAATAAACTAAGATTGTATTAAAGACTATTGTCAATATTCAATAAATGAAGCCTCACTACATTATTTGATCTACTATGCATTAGTGAACCAAGATGACCGTAACAATTAAGGAAAATAAACAAATATTTTTGGTTTTATAATTTAATTTTTAATACAATTCAAAAAAAATAGGTAAATGTTATGTATGGCAATGTTTAATAAACAATCACATTTTATTTAAGCATTAAAATGCAGCAGTCTGGAAAAGCTGCCAGAAACAATGTTTGGCTTCAGAAAAGGCGATTATGAAATTACTTCCAATAAAATTCAAATACTCTCGTCTGTTGATTAGTTGAATGCTTTAGACTGGAAGGAACAAAAAGTGCAAATAAGCTGAATGTTACTTTCAAAAGTAAAGTCTTAGTGTCCTACAAGCAGTTACTGAAAGGCCTCACCTCAATCGTTGTGATAAAGGACAAAATTCTTCCAATCTCTATACAATTATAATTTACTGTAACATTTCAAACAACGTATTATTACTAAAACAAAATTAATTTCAGAATATAACTGCACTATTCCGCCTACCATGAGCACCTTTTTTCCCTTTTTTTTTTTTTTAAATCTAATTTGCTTGACATGAGATGGCATGAGATACATTCTCACTGCAAAACTGGAAACTTACATGGAACAACACAGTTACAACCACTTATAGGAACATGTTCCAGGTTAAGGTAATTTATACCTAAACATAATACTTTCACATGAAAACGTAAGATTCATAATGTGGTAGTTGGTCTCTGCTGATACACCTTCCTGGAAGTGACTCATGATAGTAGCTAAATGTTGACCTGCAGCTTAGCAGTTTGCAAAACGACTGCCCTTTTGTGCATCACCTTTACTGGAGGACTTGTAAAGAAACAGACAAAGGTTAATAGGCAACATTTCATATATGGGCAAATTTTAAGCATTCAAAAACTGCCATGATTCAGTGCCAGTTTGAAATAAAGAGTATCTTTCTGGCCCCTAAATCATTTGAGAATCACTTCATACAGAGAGAGAGTAAAATCCAGTCTGATTATCATCTTATAAAGGCTCTAAGAATACACTAGCAATTTTCAATTTGTTCTTGTAAAAATCTTTAAAATTATTGTGGACACATGTTCTTATATGTGGGTACTGCTGCTTGAAACTGAACAGTTGGTTGACATCCAGACAACTATTACAATTTTCCAAAAGCAAAGCAGCTTATAAGCATAATAAACAAATGGTCATTTTGCCAAAATTTAGAACTAATTTAGTAATTTGTAGAATGACACTTTCAAAATGTGCAACACAAAATAATGTAGCCAACAGTAACATACAGGTACACCATTTAATATTTATTATATGCATTTTATATACATTTTTTTTCAACAGCTGTACTTTTGCTATGTGGTACAATCTTAAAAATTTGCTGATTCATAGTTTGTAAAACAGAAACCTTACAAAACTCATCAAAACTCGAACTGATCAGAAAAGTTTTGTGGAAGACTAGAAAAAATACTTTATTGTATTAATCATGCATTAAACAAACAAAACCTTTAGTTACACCATAAACTGAAGCACATCTGAAAATAAAATAAAAGCAGGGAATAACTAGTCAAAACACAGCAGATTTATGAATCTTGAATCAACTACTTTTGTACTCTATTTGAAATGCAAATAAAAATACTTTTCACTCCAAAAGTTCTGAAACAAGGTTGTTTTTTGGAATCCACTCCATTCCAGGTACTTAAGCAGAGGAAAAAATTCTTGGTTTGCAACTTTAGAATTATCAAATGTCCCATTTTCTCATCTATTTTAGACTGTTCAAAGAGTGCCATAACAGATATACAGGGCCCTTTAACACACTACATAAAAGGATATAAAGACCAACAAAAAGTGAAATAAATAACAATAGGCCATTAGCAAGATGGGTAACCCTTGATAAATAAACTCGTAAATACAGTAAGATGTACAAAATATCACATAGTGATAGGATGCCCAGATTAAATTTTTTTTTTTTAAAGAGTTCATTCAGGGGTGTTAGCCCCTCTGTGTTTCATCTGAACACATTTTACAGTCCTTTATGAAGACAGTTATGCGATGATGATGAATTAGCATCCTTATGCAAGGACTTAGCTGAACTGTATTAGGCAAAAGAAGGGAAGAGTGTGGTTACACGGCAGCGGGTCAGTGAGATCTCTGTGTTTTAGGGTTCTATAATGCAGAAAAACATTATCAATACAATCTTGAGCACTGTTGTGACAGGCTAAATATATAAAAAGACTTATAAAAACTAGAATTTTATCCAAACATTTTGTGCAACTAATGCTAAAATATTTTAAGTTAAATTTCCTTTTCTTTAAAGCAAAATAAAAGTTTAAAAGGGGAATCTGTGGCATTCAACTGATAAACAGAAGATTACTAAGAGATGAAAAGAAAGCTACTCTTGGAGCTCACTTCCCCCCACAAGAGCACCACATTCCTAACCCTAAGGCAGCACACAGAGTCCAAAATAAAAGTCTTTTGTAAGATCAGACTCCACGTTTGCTTAAAGACATCTAAAGAACAGACATACGCCCAGTTCATATCCAGTCAAGGCTACAAATACTGGTTTTCGTTTTTTATATTTCTCCCCACCCCCACAAATACAGTAATTACAGTTAAATGAATGAGCCTGACATTGTTCAAGACGTGGTGACTTTTCACCAACTTAAACCTGCCCCACATAAAAGCCTTCACCCAGGCAGATCAGATGTAGTGTCTTATTGGTAACCTTATCATTGATGGCAGTGACACATTCCCTCTTTTTTGTCCAAACAGACATGCTGTTATGACGCAGGTTTCTTCTGCTATGTCACACAAATACTTTAGCAAGGGCATCAGCTCCTGCACTGGCAATATATGCTTTTGATGGATGAAATGCTACATCGTAAATTGATTCATCCAGCTTTTTCCTATGAGCTGTTATTTCTTGCACACACGTCTTGCTGTCCAAATTCCATAACCTAATGGAACAATCATGGCCTGTTTAGGAAGAGGAAAAAAAGACAAAAGACAAAGTTAGATTTGTCAGACACTTAGGTGTATCATAAATGCAAAATTTAAAGAGCATACAGAAGATTAAAAACCCCTTACTTCCAGACATTAAATAGATTCCATTAGGATCTACAGCTAGGCTTGTGACAGCATCCAAGTGAGCAACCATAGAATGGATCATTTTACCTGAAAGCAAAATAAACAGTGAATTTCCTCCTAAGTATTGTTTCTTTTAAAAATAACAACTCTCATTAAATGCAATACAGAATAACACACTTACTTAAGATTTCAATAGTATCAGAATTATACAATTTATTAGAAATTATTAAGTTTCAACTGCAGACTCTTGTATAAGCATATGGGTGTAAGGGGCACAACTCTCAAAAAAGCATTCCCATTATAAGCAGGTTTATTTAACCATATGGCATCTTGTAGCAATGGATATGAAGACCAATCCTAAAATGAGTGGCTGAGAACCTAAACTTTTAGTCCCTTAAATGTCCTAATACCTGCCTCAGTTGCACAGAAGTGTTGACAAAACTTTGTAAAAAGTGACTTGCTGAATCATACCAAAGGTCCGTCTAACTCTGCCACTGCCAGGAAGAAGGCTGTTGGTGATAAACCACACAATAACCTAAACACAAGGCAACTCTAATTGACACTTGCCCAGAATACTCTCCAGCTTCTAATAAACAACTGTTCAGTTATGACACATACCAGAGGTGTTATCTCTGCATTCAACTACTTCTAATGCATTCCTTTTTGGTGACCTCCATTTCCAGACATCTTTTAGCATCTCATGATGTTTTTTGAAATAAGTTCCAGAATGTTTAAATGCACATAAGAACCACTACCTCTTTCTGCTCTGAACCTGTGACCTGCTGGGGGTTATCAAGTGAATCTTAGTTCATGTATTGGAAAAGAGAGCAAATAAATCTCTGTAGGACCATGACCAACATGAAGAAGGTATATTGCCTTTGCCCAGTTGTCTGTCTTCCTGAAGAAACTAAATAGGCTGAGATTCTAAGATTGTTCCTGAAGCAGCTAAAAGCTGCTAAAAGCTCTGATCATCTTCTTAAACATTCTCGGAAGCGTTTTAATTTGGCTATTGAGAGGCTATCCCTTTTGAGATAAGGGAGACTGGAGAAATGTAAAGTACACATATGGATACACCAAAAATTTATGCAAAGCTATTAGCAATGGTCCTTTTTGTTATTTATTCCTTTCCTTATAATGTTCATTTTGCTATTCTAAACGCTAAGTGCTGAACTGACATTTTCATCCAACCTCTTCTTGTAACTTTGAGATTTTACCTTGAGTTATAACAGTCAGCCCAGTGATTATTACTTTATAATATAAAGTTCGTTTTTCCTTACATGCATTGTTTCACATTTATCTACATGGAACTTAATTTGCCTGCTCTTAAGTCTATTAAGATCTTCAGTTCTTCCTCATCAGCCTTAATCTTTAATACCCTGAATGTCAGTAAACTGTCAAGATACTGTCTGTCACCTGTCCAGACAATTCATGTTGTATTGAACTATTGCTGATCCCTCCAGGACCTGATAATTTTTTATTTCACAAAATGACTTTTTACTTCTACCTTCTGTTTCCTGTCTTTGACCTAATTATTTATTCATACAAGTTTTTTCTCCATATTCTATATCTTTGTTTCTTTAAAGTAATAAATATTAATTTCAGGACAATAATTGTAATGAATTAAATGACCACAATCCAAATTCATACATTCATGGCAGGTGATAAGGGGAAAAAAGCGTCATAGCTTTTTGCCTTTAAAAACGAGACCCAAGAACACCACTCCCCTTCCTCCACCCCCATCCAAACCAACCCAACTTAAAACGGGTTTTGCACACGTGCTTGAAGTCAGCTTATGTTGACTTTTTTATTTCCAACTTTGGTAGGATAACATGCAGAAACTGACCGATAATTTGACAAATGGGAAATAATGTTCATTCTTAGAATTATTCCCCAACATTTTTGTCATGACAGACTGCAGTTTTTCCCTATGCTTTTTTTTTTTCAGATCCACTTCTGTTTTATGTACATAGCCAGCAAGTTAAGTGTAACACAGGATTCCATTACTACAATGACTTTACAGTTATTTCTTGACATAACAGGTCTTAAACAATGTTCTTTATTAATGAGAGGTGAAAAACTTAACTGACACATGCTTAGAGTTGAAGGCACGGAAATTATGAACACAGGAAGAAAACAGCAGTCATATTCTATAACTTAGCAAAGTGCTAATGTCGAGAACCTTTCTGTCCCTTATCACTATCTCTGCTTGTTCTGTTTTCTGACTGCTTAAGTTGCAACGGATATTGCTATTTCATGGAATAGGTACTGAAAAGGTTCAATCTTACAAATACCAAAAGTTGTCTTGTGTAACGCTGCATCACTAGTAAGTTTTCTACAAATGGATTCTCCATATGTCCATCCAAGATTTATTTTAAATACCTTCATGCATACAAGTTAGATTCTCTTTATCCTTACCCGTTTTGTTGTCAAAAAATTTGATGTGTCTATCTTCATGTGCTGTAATGGTTACAGGAAGTGTGGGATGACTTACTACCTTGTTAATATGATTATTTGATTGTACACCTGAAAATAAAATTTAACAAAAAATATTCACCTGCCTTAAGGAAAGGATTAAAGTTTAAATGAGAATGTTTTGGCATTACACTTTGGCTTACTATATTAACTAATATTATATAAAAAAGATTTTATGAAGAGCATCAACAAATCTCTACTAAATCATAGCTTTTTGCTTTACAGGACAGGGCTAAGACAAATATATCGTAGCCAATGTACTGTAAGGTAAAAGCTGTACAAGTGGTTTATACACATGAAAGATTCTTGAGAGAGCTAGCAAACAAACCAAGCAAGTACTGCAGGGCAGCACTAGCCAAGTAGAAACAAACTGTGGCATCTATAATATGTTTAGCACACACCTCTTACTCCTTGACATTAAAAAAGATTGAAGTCAACCTAATCTATTAGATTGTCAGACACATTCAAGTCTGATTTCAACTTAAAGAAACAATTAATGTGTGCAGAATCCAACACTGAACTAATGTTCTGCTTAATTCACATATTTACTTATCTTAATATCCTCCATTTCAAGGCTATATAATTAAAACTGTGTTTTAAAATGCAATTCAGAAAACTGAAGCTTGAGAAATCTTAGCTTAGAGAATAAAACCCTGTCAACTTTCACTATCTCTAACCACTTTCAAATCCTGCTAATCCACAATTTTTTCCATCATGTCTGTTCCATGTATCTTTAAGCATCTAACCAACTTTCAAATTGCTTGATTCAGGACAGGAGTAAAACTTTTTCATTTAATTCACCATATAATAAAACTTGGATAAAGTTACCTCAACCAAGATGGATATTTAACACACAAGAGCTTTACTTGCCAGATTCTACTTGTGATGAAAGCATTACCACTGACTGGGATGTTTCTAAGTCATAGATGACTGTGCTGCCAGTGTTAAAAGATGCCACCATATGAGCAGGGTCACAACCTATAAAGTCAACTGATGTAGGTATTCCATGCTCTAGAAAGAGAAAAAATGTCTTAGAATGAAAAACTTAAAATTCTTGACAGTTTAAACATTTAGTTTGTTTTATATTCATACTTTAAAGAAGAACTTCACTTCTTTCTTTAGAGTGAAGTTACAGCACCATGATCTCTTTATTAAAAGATCTTTTCCCTTTAGTCCTGTTACGTAGTTTTTAATGGAAATAATGAGCCTGGAATCATCACCAGCTGCGTCATAACAGATTTTCAAAAGCACTGCACAAACTTACCTTTCTCTCCATTGTAAGTGCAAATACAGGGCATTTTTTCTGGGGGGTTCCATAATCTAATAGTGCCATCTGCTGAACAAGATAGTAAGTGATTCTTTACACCGCTGTAAGCAAGACCCCAGACTGCATCTGTGTGACCGATTAATGTGCCAGCTAGAACGTTTGGCTCTGGAAAAAAAAATACAGAAATTAATAAATTAAACCTTTTTAGTGAAGAAATATTTGTATATCAATATAAATTAAATTGCACATAAAACAGTCATATACACCCCCACCACCACCACCACACAGCCCTTCTGCAATAAGCAACTGTTAGAATATTACACAGGTCATTTTGCACAATCACTGCCAGCTTTCTCAAAAAAGCCACCAAAACGCTCCCACCTCCCCCGCCCCCCCAAAAAAAGAAAAACAAACAACCCTCCCCATCAAACTAATCCAACTAACCAAACCCAGAATGATACACATTTGCTACCACCTCCTCTCTGAGGCACTTGCTTCTTCCCTCCAAATTCACTGTCTTAAAGATGCTTGGTCACAGCCCTTCACTGTACAAGGTGCAAAAATACCTAAAATATCAGCTTTCCACTTAAACACTGATGCCTAATGCTGGTTTTACTCAGCATGCTCTGCTGACGCAGGCACATGACCTAAAACTTCAAATCACCCTAATAATTAAGCCAAGATTATTTCTGTTGTGCAACAGGCACACACACTCTTATTTTCTTTTCCCTGATACTTTATACTTCTCTTTTATAGAGGGGTTTTTAATCTATTCTCTACCCAGCTTTGAGTAGAGAAGAAAAGATAAATGGAAAAGAACAAAGACAGATAAATCACTACAATTTAGTTCTGCAGGAAATTAAAAACAAGTTGGTCTTGCAACCCAAAATCCTACTAACAAGCTTTAGGGAGAAAAAACATCCTATTGGAGCTCTCTCTTTTAAAAATAACATTGTCACTTGAGTAGACACAGTTCTGTCTGAGGCCCATGAAAATTATACCAACAATCCTATCTGCATGAACATAGCACACCATTTTTAGTGATTTGACTACACTGAACAAAATTTTAGCAGAGGTGTGCAATTTGAGCTATATATTGGTTTTAAGGTGTAGCAGTCTTCCTAAATCAGTGCAAGACAGCACTGCTTCCCACCCCTTCCCATCTCACTGCCACAAATTATGCAGCTTGAGTTTTGTATTAGCTCACTCATTATACTGACACAAGGGAGAAAGGAAGACATCTTGACTCTGTCCTGTTCAAACTTCAGTCACCCATGGAACTGCACCCTTAGAATTACACTAAACACAAAATGCCGATCACATCAGCAATTGCAGGAGAGTGATGCACAGTTTTCCAAGCAGTTATCAGCTCTTTAATTTTAGAGACATCACTTATGGGAAGTGAGATGCAAATCAGAAACATGGGATATAGGAAATTCTCAGAAAACTAGGGTTAACTGTACTCAAATTCTATCAGAAGAAATAATAATTTTAAAATTTGGTATTTTGGTTCAAAGTAATCATGCTTTTCAAAAATAAGAGTTAAGATTAATTTTTTATTTACTGTTTAAACCTCAGAAATTGTATGGAACTGTAACAGGAAGACTGGCAAAGTATGTCACCAATGCAAGTGAGAATAAGTAAGGTTTACCACATGCAAAGAGTTGAAAACACACAATGTTATTGATAAACAACAGCTATATGTCACAAAAGCTCCAGAAAACAGTTTAGCAACACGCAAAAAATGAATTTTGAAGATAACGGTCATGAGTTGTTTAACTTTTAAAAGGTACTCACCATAGGTATCATATGGATCCACGTTAGGGCTAGGCATGTTCCACCACTGGATGGTTGCATCAATACCACCACTGAAACACTGTTCTCCATTGGAACTAATTGCCAATGACAATACAGGTCCACTATTGGGAGACAGAAAAGTTTATTGATACTGCTTGCAGACAGAAGTGAAAATTTGGCTATGTACTTTAGGAAGAAGAAAATTGGATTGGATTTAGTAGTTAAAAAAAAAAGTCTTAACAGAATTGTAAGTCTCAACAAATGATACCAACCTCTATTAAAATATTCATAACATTAACTAAAACTATCCAAATTCAGGCAATTCAAAGACCACCATTTTATTTTTCAGAAGCAACAGTAACTATACCTAAAAATGGTGAGTTTTTATAGTGCATCTATGCCAATCTAACAGCTACCTGTGCTGAAAGAAGTGGTTGTATCAGTTCTGTATCAAAGCTTCCCCAAACGTTACCTTTTGGTACTCAGTAACAGAAGCCCAAACAATAGCCCGAATTTAGACAGAGAAAGAAATCTCAAGGAGAATTCAACTGGTCAGTGACCCTCTATCAGTCAAAGAACATTTGTATTTAAACATAAGGACAAATTAATCACCCAGCCCTAGGGAAGAATGTTTCACAGTTTAGTTAGTAAGTGCAATAAAAAGACATTATGTTCTATCAACTATGTGGCTTAACGGAAGGAGAAGGGTGACAATATGTGTAGATTTCCTAATACAAACTACTGATTTTTGTGTGTGTGCATGTTTTGTTTGTTCATTTGTTTTTTGTTGAGGCCAGCACAGGAAGTGTTCTCCATTTCCATACTTATCTAAAAGCTCTTGTGAAGCTAACCTGCTACTGGGTTGGATACTGGATCTTTAGTTATATAAGTGAAGTAATCTCAAACTCCTGTGAATGGCTACAGGTCTCACATTTTTATCTTGCCTTCTTATTGAACGGAATCAGCATTCAAGATTAGCAACTGAAACTCAGGCAGTAATAAAGCACTTAAAGGGAGCTGAAGAATTACTAGGAGTTTTACAAGTCCCAGCTCAACTTTTACTAAATTGTTTATCTGAGGTTAGTGCACTGTCATCATCTGTCACAACAAAGATCTTTCATTGTTTCAGACTAGTTTGTGCAATCTGCTTTCCCAAGATCCTGGGCTGGACTGCAATCAGAAATTAAAATATTCATTATGAACCACGATCTGCAGCCAAACTTGCGATGGGAAAGGAGGAGGCCTGGGTTGATACTGCAAGAGAACTAACTGTAGGTACCAGAACTTCACTCAGGTATTAATCAGCTTTTCGACTACAACAATTATCTCACTGATTTCCAAGTTCCTCCAGCCCTAAGGCATGTGTATGAATTAATACCCATGCCCTGTCTACTGCTTTGGCCTCCTGGCAATGAAATTTTTTCTCTTATTCTTGTTGATGCCCCTTAAAAACATTCAGAACCCTCTTAGACACTTGCCTGATTCCCTGATCTTTCACTCACTGAATCTGCATTCAATAGGGTGGGGTTTTTTTGGTCCTGATCTGTACTTTTAACTTGTCAGACTTCTATCTGAAGACACTAGGCAAGACTAATATATTCTACCTTCTTCACATATTATATATAAAATCAACTGTACAAGAATTGGGCATCATTCAGGTCATTTCACTGTAGTCTTCTACAACCTCTCATTTCCATTGCAACTAACCACACTTGCCACTTCCTGTTCTTCTCATTTTATCACGGACTGTGCAATTCATGACAGGAACTCAGGATTTACCTGTTTTTACAACGTATAACGGACCTTGTCTGTACGATGTAAAAATAGAATACATTTGTGGCTTTTAAACTGAAGCATTCTATGAATCCACGAGATAACGACAATACGTTTATCAAGCATTAGTCATATCAAACACTTACATGTGGGCCCTAAATGTGTAGATAGGTTCTACATCTAAAGAGGCACTCCTGAAAGAGAAAGCAAGAGCTATTACACTACATGAAATCTCTACTGAAAAAGAGTGAAAACAGCTAAGAGTTTAATCAATTGCAAAGTCATTTAAAACACAACTAATGCTTTATAAAAACGCATATACTTACTTTTTGGCAGGAACAGTTTTCTGCAAATTCCAAAGTTTTAGAGTATGGTCCTCAGAGGCTGTAACCAGCACAGGCTCTACAGGATGAAAAGCTAATGCCCGCACTCCATCAAAATGACTGCGCAGCGTGTACTTAGGGTTCCATGTCTTTCGAAAGGCATCTTTATTAGCTGGCAACTTAAAAGAAAAGGAAAGGAGTAACTTTATCTTCAGTATAAAAATACGTATAACCCCCCCGTATTTTAGGAAAACACACTCTTTTTTTAATTCAGTTAATACATGTTCATTCTTAAGTTTGCATTTATCTATGATCTGCCTATATGCATCTATAGCTCCCCTCTGGCATGCCAGATAGCCTGCAATTCTTCTGTTGTAAGTTTCATTTGTCCCAGAGTGGAATGGAGAACAATGCTGAATACATAGACAAGAACCCTTGATTTTCAAAAACTGATTTTAATGCTTTTGTGCAATTATACTCTAATTCTTCCTCCATAAAAGTTGCATTGCTTATGTTCTCTGCAACCAAGGAAAACATTACAACTGTCAAAAGCTCATTTATCACCTAAACACATTAAAAATGAGCTTCAGGTCCCTAGTGAGCGACTTAAATGAGATTGACAGGAAACACAATCCTTCTGCACGTGAAGGTATGTACACAGAAATAGCTAATCCATATTGCAATACAAGTTTGTCACTATTTTAAACATAACGTTACATACAGAGATTTTCTGAAGTCTTTAATGAGTTTTAAATTTATTTGTGAGACAATAACTTAGTTACATGAAACTATATACATAAACTTTACATTTATATATTGTGAACATCCATATTCTTAACCTATAAACTGTTAAGATAAAAACCCCAAAATTACATCTGCTTAATATTAATTACAGGTAACTGAGGAAAGTTACTATAAAACCTCAAAGTCTTCTAGGGACTCTAAGAGACGAATTTGGAGCTCTGAATACAATTTCTATTATGCGGAGTAGACCCTTAAAAGACTACATCCCACTCCATAAGTAGAAATACACATGCCAGTAATTTTCTCTTCCTCTCAAGTAATTATAAAGAAGGTTGAGGAAGCTGACTTCAGTTAGATGACCAAAATTAGCAAACAAAGAATGAATGGGAACTAATCCTATCCACTGCCTTACACACTACCTATTCATCACGTAATTGTTAAAGCACATTTCTAAGCTGTAGGCCAGAATCTCTCAGTATCCCAAGGTACTTTCAGTGATGCTATTAAGAGATTAAAATCTCCCATAGCTAATAAAAATCTTAGTACCTTATTATCTGGCAGGACTGAAAATAAAAATCAGATCGCAACATAACATATATCTATTAAGTATTCTTGGACTAAATCCGTATCTTAAGCTAAATTACCACTACTTGCTCAAACTAAATTTGATTATAACCAAAATAAATAGAAAGGCTCAGACAATAGAATTCACTGTTTTGAGTTACAGATGTGCAGACACCTGCCTTTCCTTATATCAATGTCATTTTCTGGCCTAAGTGCAAACTATACCAAATTTTGATCAAGAAACAAATTTGTTCTGCATTGATCTTGATAGATTTCAGCCCAAACTCCTTAATTATTCACCTCCTTGAATCTAAAGTGGATAAAGAAGGAAATAAAAGAAAGAGAGGTATTTTTCTAGCAGACTCCCTTGATATTTTTAACCCTCATGTAATATATTCATCCACCTAGCTAACTCATGTTGCCTCATGCACTTGTGGTGATCTGGGGCTTAGAGAAATTAAAGCCAGACATTTTAAATAGCAGTGGTTCACGTTAGCACTTGTTATGTCCCATATTAGACAGAGGACCTTGATTCTTTGGGTGTGAGTGAATCAACACCACACTGATTGCTTACAGTTGTGATGAAGACTCATTCAACAAAAACCAGGACTGAATACAGTGGTTCTTATTTAAATTAATAAAAAAAGTAAAAGTAGTCATTAAAATCTTTTTTGTTACAATGACTGTTGCATTGGCAATTTCATACTCGGCAGTTCAGAAGAATCTGCTAAAATGCAAAGTCCAGCATTTACAGAAGAAAAACAAGGCACATTTCCTATGTTAACTATAGCTTTAAATCCTTTTATAAAACTGACTTGAACATCTTGGTTCTTTTAGAGGACACCACATACACCTTACTAGAAATCTAGTAATATAAACCCCATTTTTTTTTGTTTAGTTCTTCTGCCGCATCTGTGTTCCCAATGAATCTTGACATCCTTACTGTAAGAGAACAGCTGACATGTCTTTTCAAAAACAGAACCTTTCAACCTCGAAGAAAAAAAAGCTAAAGTGTATCTTAAAAAAAAAAAAACAAAACACATCAGAAAAAGAGTCATGGACTCCGAAAAAGTATCTCACATTTATAGCCTTTGTAATCAGCAAATCCAAAATATGCCAAAAGTGTAATAGCAAAGAAGTAAAACGTGACAAATTTTTTAAGCTGTGACATCTCAAAAGCCTCTCAGAACAGAAGGCATGGACACACTGCCCCATTGAGTCCTAATGTTCTCCTGTAAATGACAAAAGATAAAGTTGCAAGATGACAGACTACGGAACCATACAGCTTCACTAGCTCCTTCTCCCTTTTGACCTAAACTTAGTTGGACTTAACTAAACAGGACCAAGTGACCAATCCTTCATCCCAGTCCCCTGTCAAACAGCCACAGAATAGATGATTAGAACAGTAGGGTCTACCTATAACAAGAGTTGTAGTTCCCCCTCACTCCCTGCCTGAAACCACCCACCAACACCCAAAAAAACCTGTCTAGGTCAGGAGACACAAAATCCTTCACATGTCCTAACACACCTTTACCACAAAATAGCAAATTAATTTGCTATTAAACAAATAGCAAATAAAAACCAGACAAATCATATACCACAAGAAATTTCTAAACAGGTTAGAGGAACAATCAGGATTGGAAATGCCTGCTTCATAATACTGGCTCAAGCTAACCTAATGAAAATCCCTTGCTTCTTCGTTTTGTTTTCTTGGTCTGTATGGGAACACAGGCAAGCAACCTATTCATTCTGCCTTGTAAACCATCAGCAAAGCAGACTGAAAGAAACTATATCCGAGCTAAACAAACAAACAAAAAAGGCCCCAGAACCCAACAACAAAATTAAAACCAAAACAACCGAACAAAAAAAGACACTAAGGAAGGAAGCTCTTCCTCGTCCCTGCAGTCAAAAGAATCCTTAGGGCATAGTAAGCAGACGTTTATCTCCCTATCTCAAACAACTCCTCACCTACAGCAAACAGAGGAATTGGAAAGCAATAATAACTGTAGGAAAAATCTTTTAAGGTTTTGATGGGTGTTTTTTTCTTGGTAATGATGTGATTGATTGGAGATTTCCAAATTTAGATGCTCTGATAAATGAGGACGCACAGCATTTCACAGCTGGTCCTACACCAGCACAACACCACCCTCCTGTGACACTCCGTATCAGTGTATAATTGCCATTTTTGTTCAAACAAATTCAAGTTAAGACATCAATCTGTATTTTATGTCATAACACATTCCCCCAGTGGCAAAATCTGAATTATCTAAGTAGGAAACAAACAAGTCATGTCACTTAATTTTGATTACCCAAATTAATTAGCCCATTCTGAAGGTGCTCCCTCCTCCTTCCAAGTCATAGTTTTTGCTAGTGAAACCTCTGTTCGTTGCATCCGTAATGTTCAGGGTGGGGGATCCAACTACTATTGATTAAATTAAACTGTATAAATAATTTTAAAATAAAGTTGCACTTACATCATAACTATAGTCTGCATCATTTGTTACTGTCAAGTCTGCAAGGTCTCCAAGGCCCAGTACACTTAACAACACATCATCAGAACCCATAATAAATGACTTGCCTCCTCCAGGTGGAAACGTTATTGGCTCAGCTATGAAGAACAAAACAGTTTCTTTAAGTCTCAATGTAATAATTCAAACTGATGAAGAACTGCATTATTCATCACTTAAAAGCAAAGCATAGTTTAAAACTGAACTTGTATTTACTACATACCACCCCAATTAAAAACAAAAGAGAACAAGATGACACGCACACATGTGTAAACACACACACATTAAATACACAATTCTTCTATCTTGCTTTTTCATTTGATTTCAGCTTACTTTACAGAGGTATTCAATACGACTGCTAAGCAACTTGACTGACATTACTTCACAATGCAATATCAAATACATGTCCCAGCTCTCCAACATCCCAGCTAAATATTTCATTCACTACACCATGCTATCTGCCTTCTATCTATTTGCAAGTAAGTCTCTGTGCTTTATATTAGTCCAATATATCTACTTGAATGAGTAAGTATTTTTTATTTCTCAGGCTAAAGATGTTTCTCCTGCAAAACGTCACTTCTACTTTGATTTTACAGATGATTAAAACACGAAAACATCTGTTATTCATTACGTCCCTCTTACTTTCTCAGCATGATTTTGGATTCTAGTTTAACATACACCCAACTGGTATTTATCTTAGCTAGCTATGCCTCCCCAAATTAAAATTTCACATTTCTGTGAATTATAATTTGGAATTAACACAAGTTATATGTAACCACTCATTCTGAATTCACATCTGAATACAGTTTCAAACCTGCACCCATATTCTTTAAATTCTTCAATTCTGTAAATGTCCTTCTACCCACAAATATCAATTTAGCCATAAGGAATATGATTAAAGGCTGAAACACTGTAATATTTCAGCATATTTTAGAAGCTGCTGTTATTTATCAGTATTTCTTTCCATGCAAAAACTGTGACATGCGTTATGTAGAGTACTTAAACTTTAGCTACGTGAATACTTTAGCTAAGCGCAAATATCCACAAAACATGTTAAATCATATCTGACATCCTTAAAAATTAAACCTACTTGACTTTTGGATTTCACAAGTTTGGAATAGAGAGTTACGGTCTCACTTTAATGCCACCCCTTGTTCCTAATCCTCTCAGAAAAACCTTGAAACTCAGAGAAAATAAAATACCTAGATCTGAAAAACACATCTATATCCTGGTTTTTGTCTTATAAAATCAGTTCTAAACGAGAGAATAATCAACACATTCCTATTTTGAACATGCATCTTCATTATTCTGTATCACCACTATCTGAACAGTAACCTAAGCGATAATCCACTCCATCTGAAGAAAAGTAACTTAAGAGCAGGTGTAAAATTAGCCTGGCATCACTACTATGGCTATGCAAAGAGGAGCCAGCCCAGCTAGATTTTAAAAAAAAAAAAAATTTAAAAAAAATCACTTCTCAAGAAAATATAAGTTCTAATGCTTGAGAACTTCTGTACTACTAAAAAAAATATTAACTTATTAGCACAGCAACACAACTGTATGTGAGAATCTAAGAATATAATTTATATAAGAATAAAAACTGTGTTCCTGCAATTGCATAAAAACAAACAACATTATCCTAACTACGCACAGTTGCCACATTTTAAAACATTCACAATCCATACAAAGGTCTTGACTCAGAATACATAAATTTAACAGCCCAAAATAGCTTACCATGCCCTTATATAAATAAGCTTTTCACTTCCATTAGTATTATACTAAAACCCTCAATTTGACAGTCTATTCCAAAGCACTCATATATCAGAAAAGGCCATATTCCTAGAAAACATCTAATTATTTTCCATGTTCCTACCTACTTCCTTCATTATTGGGTTTTTATTTGGGGAGGTGGGGAAGTAGGTGAAGGAGGGGATACCCCATCCATGCTTATTAGAGGAGATCAGAATTTCTAAGGATTGATTTCTTAGTGAATGCATCTGAGCTGAGCCTAAAAGGAGATACTAACAATACTTTATATGAAGCAAGAAATAAAATACCATCACAAACTTCATCTGGTCAAACTTTGTGAAATCCTCAAATGATTAACAATGAGCCCGTCAGTTACTTCAGGGACCAAGTTTTTCTAGTTCTTTTCTGACAAAAAAAGTGTGATTGGAAAAAAATAAGAATAAAGGCTACAAAAAGAAACAAGGTTTTTTTTAGCAGTGTTTTGGGGTTTTTGTTGGGTTGTTGTTTGTTTCCCCCTGTTGTTATCATCATTATTTGGTTTGTGGTTGGTGTTGTGTGTTTTTTGGTTTGGGGTTTTTTTTCCTCTCCTTTTTTGTCTCCCAGAAAGACTTCAGTACTTCTGTTTGGAATTTCCAAAACTGTCTTGCCTCTACTCTCTTGACAAGGTCCCAGTCTCCCAAATACCTACAAGCCAAATCTCCCAAGTCATAAAGCAGAGCTGCTAATCACTGGGGAAAGGAGGACATATACTCATTTTAATTCTGATAACATTTTCCATCTCTGTTATGATGCTGTGACTCCTATTTCATCTTTAGGATAGGTCCACAAGATTTAAATAAGCCCCTGAATTTGACAATTTCTTTAGGAAATTTTTGTCATCTGGCCTTAGCAGATCAACTTTCATATGCTTTATACTAAATGTGAGGCACTACGACATTAAAGGTCTATATTACAAGTTTATCGAGCTTTATTTGTATCACAGACAAATATACCTTTATTTAAAGCTTCAAAATAAATGCTATCTGAAATTTGGAAGCATATGTCTCAATACTAAAGTTGCCAACATGTATAAGTTGGTACAACTGCATTTTAATTTATTCACACATTTTATTATTATTATTTTAAAATAAGACATATTCAAAGTTTAAAAAATGATTGCAAGTTGTTTTCATAAAAAGGCAGAAAAGTAATACAATAGAAGATGTGTGACGTTATAACCACTAAAAAAAGACCCAGAACTCCGCATTATCAAAACCAATGCATCAATAGACATATGGAAAAGGTAAATGAATTATTGAATGCTTTCCATCTTTAAAAAAATCCAAGCATTTTTTACTCACACAGTACAATATTATCCTCATAGCGTAACACATATTTAACAGAGTTTGCAATCAATAAATACAAAGTGAAAACGTAAGTGATTGTACAAGTTCATTTGTAGGTGAAACTAGGTGAAAAAAATGTAATGATTAAATATTTGCTTGGCCAATCCTAACCAGCACGTCTTACCCTCAAGTTCTTGACATCATATTAGTTAAGTCAAAATCAAGCATTAATATTTCTACAGTCTGAAACTGCTTCAATCTCTAATCAAATATGTATGTTCATATATGCTGTTGTTGTCTGTTACACAACAGGGACATCTTAATCTTGTTTTCCAGTACGTTAATACACAGTACATCAGAAGCAGCAGTTAATGCCTAAGCAACTAGCCATTACTGTTATTTTTTTTGTCAATCTATAGCTTGATACCCCCACGATGTATAGACATTAATAAAGAAAAACAACACATGGAAATAGTTCTCTGCACAATACACTGGAGGGAGAATCACGGTACAAGTTGATCCATTTCTGAAAGTCATGCAATATGGTAAAATGGAAACCCCAGTTTCTCATGGCCAAAACTAAAAGTGTAATTACAGCATAACAAATTTCTCATCATATTTAAGCAGGGACTTGAATGAAAAAAAAAAATCCCGCACCCACAGACAAAACCACAGACCTTTGAAGGTATATAAGATATATTCTCAGCCTATCACACCCATAGTTTACTATCCTCCCTAAATCCTCTCCTACCCTCAAAAAAAAAAAAAGAAAAAAAAAGTGAGCTTAATAAGACTTTGTTTCCTATACCAAAACAAAATTATCAACCTTGCAACTGTAACGCCTCAGAGTGCAGTATAAACCTTACATACAGTCACAAGAACACTGTGTCTTGGTAACATTCAACAGCACAGGCTGGTGTGTCCCAGCAGGAAAGCCTAAAGTTGCTTGAAAACTTAGCTTTTAAAACACAACTGAATAAATAATTGAGCAAAATTGCATTTTATGATACTGAAGTATTTGGCCTTGTTGACTAAAGACAGACCTAGAAGGAATTCAAAGACTTGTTTGCTTGCAGCTTTGCACCATATAGTACAGATAAAAAACTTAAAAAGCCACATAGTATTCAGGAATAGAAGTTCCCAAAGATCAAAATTAACACTCTATTATTCAAGTTTAAAAGTTAAGCAGGAATCACAATAAGCATGTATGATGGTAGAGATATTCATACTACTACTCTTAATGAATAAAGCTCAAGCTACACTGATAACTGAAAACAGAAACACAAGAATCCTGAAACTGAAACTAATACTTTGTAAAGCAATAAATAATGTCTCTATACACTTGGGTATATAGACTAAGAGAATTTTAAAAAAGAGAACATTTAACATTAAACTTGAGGAAAAGCGACAGAGTCTCATAAATTAAATATCTACCTTAATATTTTTTCACTTTAAAATGCAAACCGTGTATCAAGCATTAATACTCACCTTTTTTCCCCCTCAATCAATAACACCCTATTTGTAAAAGGTTTGCTAGTGAGGTGGTGGGGTGGTATGGATGGTCTGCAAACAGGGATTTAATAGTGAATAGTTTCAGAATATACCGCTGTACATGAAATTGCCTAAAAATACTTATGAAATAATGGTGTGACAATAAGCCGCAGAAACTCAAGCCATTCTCATAAAATCACTTGGGAAGAATTGCAAATAAAATAATGATGTGGCAATTGCATAAAGCTTTATAGAGGGGACAGTAAATTACAGTGTGTGCTTTCTAAAAGAAATGTCCTGAAATATAGTAAGTAGCTGAATTTTTTGTACCTTCCTCTGCTCTTGCACCTTCATGATCAGTCATTCTAGAAGAGGGTGACCTAGATTGATTAATGATTCCTGAAGGGATGTGGGGTATCTCATCATCGCCCAGATCAGCTATCATGTCGTGAAGTTTTGTCCTGTTGACTCCTGTAAATTAATGTCAGCAGCAAAGATTCATTTGAGAGCTACCGCTTGACTTGACTGAAGTCTAAAAATCCATTAAATTACTAAGAATCATTACTGATGGGACCTCCTTAAAATAAATACAATGCTTTGGTTTTGTCTTTGTATATTAATAGAATTGATCTTTTGGAAATCAAAAAGATTTGTTAATACATCAAATCTGAAAACTACATGCAAACAGTTTTAATTCACTAAATCAAACACTCCCTGTGTTCTGTAGATCTACTATACAACTTCCTGTAGGGAAGAAAAAAAAGTTCATCTTACAGTCCTACTGAGACGTCAAGTAAAATATTAAAAGAACATTAACTATTAAACAAAATACATATGAATTAAACATTTGCTAATAGTATTATACAACTTTAACTATGCTAAACAATTTAACACTGAAAAACAGATTGCAAATTAAAAATAAGCTTAAGAATGAGGGAAAAAGTACAGACAACTTATAATGGGGGTGCAACGAACAATTAACTTAATGGTATTTAAATTGGATAAAGTGTTTATTAAACACAAGAGCAAGAATGCTTCCACCACTCTATGAAACTGCAGATGTGTATTACACTTATTATACAAGCATGCCTCTAAAAACAAAGCAAACTGAATTATACGTGCATTTAATTCATGATGTAACACTGGTAAACAAGAACAGTATGTTATAATTGAAATTTTTAAAAATCAATAAATTCATTCCTACTGCCACCTTACAGTTTTTGCATGTGGAAAAGTCAAGCTTCAGTCATAAAGTGAGATTCCAGTGACAGCATCTCGTTAAAGAATATGATCCACAATGATGTGAGACACATACAGCTTTTAAGTGGTAAGAGAGTCCTTCCTGGGACTGCAGGCAGCTGCTGTGCTGTACAACATGTAATATAATCCATCACCTTACCCTCAAAAACTATGGTTTTAAACTTTCTAAAGTATGAGTGTTTACTGTCTTTAAAAGAACATATTAGAACTTCAATAATTTTCAAATATGTCCATTTTGTGGTCAAGTATTAGGAAACAATTTCTTACACTCCAAGTTGATGTGTACCATTTTTATAAAAAGGAAATTGAAACTAAACCAAAGTCTTTGTTCTCAAAAAAGTAAAAGGTAACACTGTAATTAGATGATTTATCAAAAGCATAACTAGTCCTTTAAACAGTTAAACTTTAAAAACACACTGTCAAATAACTGATCGTTTTAATTTTTAGATGTTACTGACAAAAAAAGGGTAAAATTCATGTGTTCAAAAATAAATACCCATCAATGACTGAACTCTAGAGATAATGGAGAATTCTCTGGAGAGAAGGATGACAATGAAAAACATTTCAGGAAGCAGAATCATACCATGCATACCCAAACAGGGATACTATATAACTGTTCTCATTAATACTCGCAAAACATTTTCATTTTGCCCAATAATATAGAACACCCTATACTTTTTTTTTGGTGCTTCTGATATTTTTCTTTTTCAGAACACTTAGTATTCCAATTACATCTACAAATGCTGCTACCCAGAAATTGTTCGAGAATAAAAAGTTCCATTTCATTCTCATGTAGAAGTGAGTCTAAAAACCTGCGATCTTAGCTAATAATGCAAGATAGTAAAAATAAGGACCGCTTTTTTGGCACCACTTTTTTTCTAGAATTTCATTTCAAAGGTAGAATACTTATTGCAGTCAGCAGATGAGATCTCACATAACAAAAAAAAATTCCACAACCAATCAGTAAGCATGAGCCCATTACCAACAACAGCAAAACACCTACAATCCCATCTTAGTGTAGCCCCCTTCAGAGATCACAAGTGAAAAAGGTACTTGAATATTCAGTGCTGAAAAGTTGCAGTCTGAGAAGCTGTAATCTGACAAGCCATAAGCAGATTCCTATTAGCTGCAAGATATAACAGCCCAAGTCTGAATCTAAGAGGGATTCTTCCACATCCAACAGGTGATGTCAATAAAGATGGTAAAATCCAATTCTGTTTTCATGTCTATCAACTATTACACTGTATTCCCAGAAATCAAGGATAGCAAAGTGATTGGGACAGATACCGTTTCATAAATATAGAACAATTAGACTGAGGGAAAAGAGCAAATGAGAAGTTTCAGGAAAAGTAAGGAAAAATCAGTAAAATTATCTTAATTTTAATGATGTACACATATAATTTAAGATGTGAAAACTATTCTCCAGATTGCTGAGAACACATTACTCTGACCTGACAGTATTCAATGAGATATGCATCAACTTCACTATTACATTTCAAAAACATGACAGACTATCTGAAAATGAGTCGTCCCCCGATTTACCCACCAAAACTAATCTTCTCAAACTTGGGCAAGAAACAGGCCTTAAATACAGCATATTATTGTAAAAGGTAAGCTTGGTTTTGTAGAAATCAAACCTAACTCCTTATGTATTTATCACAATGAGGTTCAGAATAGCTTGTGCTCTATTTGTGGTGTTTGGCTTTTTTTCTGTTGTTCTCCATCCCCTCCCCACCCCCACC